ATTAACTGAAACAGATATATAAATACAATATCAAAAACAAAGTAAAAGAATACAGAGGGAATACACAGCATAGATAGTAAATACAAATTCAGATAAGTAAGATTGTAATGTGTACATTTTTATAAAAAATTAAACAGATCAAATTCTGCATTCAAACCATGGGGCATAAGTGTCTGGAGCTTGTGTACCCAGATAAACCTGTAAAAAGATAATGGGGAACACATTTCCAAACTGACTTTGATTGTAGAATGATTTATTGTGCACAAGCTGGGGGATTGAATATCTCAGAAATAGCTGATCATCTGGGAATGTCTTACACACAAACACATACACACACACACACAACAGTATATAGAGTTTACAAAGAATGTTGAGGGCAAAAACTCCTTGTTAATATCTAAAATAAATGCTCAACCAGGGACAAGCCAGAGGACAATGGAAAGTCATGTTTCAGCTAACAGAAGGGCAACACTAACTCAAATACCAACCCATTACAAACACACACACAGATAAATACTGAGACATACAGAAATACATACTCCCTTGCATAGGCATGTGCAGTGCAATTTGTTAGGGTTTGTAACCAGCAGTCCATACCCTATTTTATATTTTAATGTTATACAAGATAATTTTAATAAAAGGCTGTGTCTTAGGGGGTCCGTAAGTGTTGTATCTGTCCGTGTGTGGCTGTGTTTTAATATATACGAGTGGTATGCAAGGCTGTGAGAGTATATGTGAGTAATATGTTTGTAACTGTGAGTGATTGCAGATACATGTGAGTGACTAGTGTTGCTGTGTGTGATGTGTGTTGCTGTGTGGGCAGATACATGTGCTGTGAAGCTTTCAGATATCACATCACTGAGTCATCTCTCATGTTCGAGACTTGGCCTGTCACAGTGTTGCTGTAGGTTACCACATCAAAGCTCGGGGAAGGGGAAAAAAAAAACACAGAACACACCCTATAGCCTACTCCACACTGCATCCCTTGTACACACACTTACTGCATTATACACAGTACATCCTACACGAGCATTAACCCAAGGGTTCAGTGAGAACAAAACTGGTCTTCTGTGGGATGTGCCCATCAGGTGACCTGTGCACTTAGAGCCACCTAATGGGTACTGCTGAACAGAGGCCCGGTCAGGTGCTGCTGCCCTTTAAAAGTGCAACCAGGCCCCTGTAGTATCGAATGCTGGTAGGAAGTAACAGCCTGTCACTTACTCTCAGACATTGAGAGCGCCGCACTGAAGGGAGAGAGGCAGCAGCAGGGAGTGAGCTGCTGCAGACCCCACACACCAGTAGCCAGCAGTTCTCCAAGCAAGTCACCCTCCTGCATAAAAAAAATATGCTAACAGTAGGGTGACTGCAAATATAAACATTATGACCTGTGTGTGTGCATGTGTCACTGTGTATCTGAGTGTGTGTACCTGTGTGTCAGTGAGTGTACCTGTGTGTCAGTGTGTGTATCTGAGTGTGTATGTCAGTGTGTATTGTATATGTTAGTGTATGTGCCAGTGTGTGTATCTATGTCAGTATATCTGTCAGTGTGTATATGAGTGTGTATGTACCAGTGTGTGTATCTTTGTGCCAGTGTGTATGTATCTGTATGTGTCAGTGTATGTATCTGTGTGTCAGTGTGTATCTGCCAGTGTGTGTGTGTATGTGCCAGTGTGTGCATCTGTGCCAATGTGTGTGTGTGTCAGTGTGTATAACTATGTGTCAAAGTATGTACCAATGTGTGTATCTGCATGCCAGTGTGTATTTATATCTGTGTCTATATCTCACTGATGATACCTTACAAGGTTGAAACGATCATCTGGGGTTGCTGTATCTCTCGTGCACAGGGGACTTGCTGGCATTTCGGATCTGGACTGCCAGTACGGATGGGACCAGTCTGATATGCTTTAGATATGTTCTTTCTCTAATTGCACTAGATGAGCTAAAACCAGCTTGAGATCTGATCGGGGACCCACCGAAGGGCAGGCTAATTGAGCTGTTGTCCGTTCTCACCACTCTTGCTACTTGTTTTTCTGTCCTTAAGTTTAAAGGGCAATCCAAACGTGGACCCCTTGCTCACGGTGCCTAGAGGGATATTAGCTATACTTCACTGATGATACCTTACAAGGTGGAAACGATCATCTGGCATTGCTGTATCTCTCGTGCAGAGGGAACTTGCTGGCATTTCGGATCTGGATTGCCCGTACGGGTGGGACAAGTCTGATATGCTTCAGATATGTTCTCTCTGTAATGGCACTAGATAAGCTAAAACAAGCTTGAGATCTAAACGGGGACCCACCGAAGGGCAGGCTAATTGAGCTGTTGTCCGTTCTCACCTCTCTTGCTACTTGTTTTTGTATCTGTGTCAGTGTATGCGCCAGTGTGTGTATATGTTCCAATGTGTGTATCTGTGTGTCAGTGTGTATATCTGTATGTATATGTGCCAATGTGTGTGTCAGTGTATCTGAGTGTGTGTTGATTTGTGCCAGTGTGTGTATCTGTGTTTGTGCTAATGTGTGTATCTGTGTGTCAGATGGTGTGTTTCCATGTATCCTTGGTATTGTGATATTATCTTCTTTTCTGTTTATATGTCTAATATCTTTAAATAAAGATTGTCAAAAAAAACTTTAAAACGTTTGAGAGGATCTGCAGAGATGAGTGGTAGAAACTACCCATATACAGGTATTCAAGGCAGACCGGGAACACGCGATCGCGATGTCCTTCTGATCCGCCTCCCTGTGCTTCCGCGTTCAGTGTGAAGTGCAGGGAGATGGATCAGTAGTGATCTTCTCCCTGTGTGAAAAAAATAAAGTTAGTGTAAAATCCCACCCCCTCCTTTACTCATTTTAAAGATTAACCCCTTCCCTGCCAATTGATCACTGACTTCAGGTTTAAAAACAAGTTTTAAAAAGTAAAAAAAGTTTAAAAGAGTTAAAAAAAAAGATTAAAAGTGCTCATTACCACTACACCTGGAACAAACTAGAGAAAAAATTATCCCATGCTAAGGTTCAAGTTATGCCTGTTGAAATACCTCAGGGTTAATTCTTTAAAAAATGATATGCGAAATGGAACATGGACACAGCATAAAACTTAAAAGTTAGAAAAAAACTGAATCACTGTGTCTCAAAAGTGCCCCTTTAACATCCACATATACCTGGCAAAGGTACATACGGGGTTAGTATTGTTGTACTTAGACAACATAGCTGAACAAAATATGAAATATTATACAGCCGTAGCAGACATAAGATTTGCAAAGTATACTGTGTAAACTCACTTTGTGTGTCAAAAATGCAGAAAAAATGCTTATTAACACTACACTTGGTACAAGCTAGCTGAAAAATTATCCCACGCTAATATTCAAAATATGCCTTTTGAAATACCCTGAAATGTCTTCTTTAAGAAATACTATGCCTTTATGGTGTAGCTGAAATGTGTAGCCTGCTCAAGTGCTCCAAAGTGGGACACAGACGCATCAAAACCCTCCATGAAAATTCACACTTAAAAACCTGAACTTGTTACGTCTCTTTTACAGCACTGTAACTTCACAAAATAGTGTCTAGGTCATACATTGGGCATATTGTTTTTCTCAGAAGATGTAACTGAGCATAATTTGGGGGATTTTATGACAGTGGTACATATTAAATGTAAGAAATACTCTGCATATATGCAACATGTATGTACAAATGCCATTTTTTTCCCTCACCACAAACATTAACATAAATTGTTGAAAAAATGGTGACAGGTTAAGGCACAATATACACCATATAAGATACCCTGGGGTGTCTGCTTTATCAAATGGAAGCCCTTTGTGCGGTTATTTGAACAGTCAAACAACTATAATACCCCAAAATGACACATAGGTCCATCATATCCATCAATGAAAATTCTAACTATAGAAACTAAAATAGCCTTGTCTTTTATGTGGCATTGTAGCTTCACAGAATAGTGCCAAATGCATAAAATGGGGGTATCGTTATAATCAGCAGATGTAGCTGAACACAATATGGGGTTCTGTGCAGGAATAGCACACACCAGCTTTACGAAATACACATTACATAAACCTTGTTATATGTGTATATGCCAATATAGAGAAAAAAACACAATTTTACTCCAATATTTAGCAGAGATTGGCAATGAAATGGCTACGTAAGAGTGTCAAAATAACCTTAGGTTAATAGGCTGTGATGTCTACTTTATATAAACATATACTTTTGTGTGGCAATGTTGTTTTCTGTGATGGCTACTAAACCTACAAGACAAACATACCAACTTCTAAAATTGTTTCACATTGAAATTTTATTGTGGTCCTTTTATTTTGTGACCTGTAGCTTTCAAAATAAGCTGGAATCCTTTACATCTGACGTACTCTATAAATCAAGACACATAAATGAATTTATTTTGAATTACTTTTTCTAAGCCAGACATATTATGCACACGCTATTATTGCCAAAACTGTGAAAAAACATTTATTTTTTCCATTTTTTGGCATCTGTTTTATAATTAATGAGAATTTATCTATGTGTATGTGACATCAAATAAAAGCCCTTTTTGACCTCTAAAAAAAAACGGTATAAAATATGTGTTGGTGCAATAAATGACAGAGAAATTGTGTTTGAACACAAACAGCAAAAAAATGAAAAAATGTGCCCTTTAATGTGCCCTAAGTCCAGTTTTTGAAGCTGAGTCCTTAAGGGGTTAAATTCTCAAAATTAGTTACAACAAAAAGAATCTGTAAACACTGGACAAAGAATCTCAACAGGCTACAAAAAAAATAAATGAAAGTCAATAAATACAATAAGAACAAACATTTAAACACAATATAAAACTTGGCTGTAAAAGTATGCTCAACACAGCCAGTACAGAGAGAACACTCTGACATCGTTGCCATGGTTACAGTCACTGCTAACCGAGGGATATTTATGCTTGTCCTGCTAGCTAGTCACACACCCTTCTCACATCCACGTTAGTGATTGGATACCGCACGACGGAGGTTAAAGGTTAGTCACGCCCCCCCACGTGCTATGCTGTGCAGTAGAATCCCGGAAGAGACTCAGATCGCCAGAAAGGTAGTGTTTATCAGTTTGTTTTCACGCCATGTGGTCCTTATGGTTAAAAGTGAAAGCTAAAACGTGTACAGATTCGGGGACGTTGGAATTCTGCATAGACTATAGTAAAGTCCGTAGTTTGCACTGTGAGCCATTGTTTAATAATAAAGAGACACTCCAGGTCTTTAGGGAGAGCTGTGCTGAATGGGATTTTGCAGGATGGTGATAGGATTTGCAATAGTCGAGCTGCAGCTGAAAAGGAGTTGTGTTCAGTAAAATTGTAATGGTGCTGTAACAGTTTATGAACTTGTATGTGTATATATATTATTTTCCTGTATGCATTGTTTATTATTTATTTTCTGTAACTCCATTTCTGATAACATGGTGTCCATGCCTCATGTCTTTAATTGGAGGACCTGCATTAAAGGGAAACTCCAGTGCCAGGAAAACAATACGTTTTCCTGGCACTGCAGGTACCCTCTCCCTCCCATCCCAGGTAGCTAAAGAGGTGAAAACCCCTTCAGGTCACTTACCTGAGACCCCGCCGATGTCCTTCGGTGGTGGTTTTGGTTTGGCGTTGCTCCTCCCAGTAATCACGTCAGCCAGCAGGGGGGAGACTGATCCCGCCCACCGGCTGAGGAAACCTGATATGCGCATTAGGTCTCCCCATTGGAAAGCATTGAAAAAGATTTTCAATGCTTTCCTATGGGGTATTGAGCAACGCTGGAGGTCCTCACACAGCGTGACGACGTCCAGTGACGCTTTAGCAAAGAAAATCTTTGCTATGAATCAGGAAGTGCCCTCTAGTGGCTGTCTAGTAGACAGCCACTAGAGGTGGAGTTAACCCTGCAATGTAATTATTGCAGTTTATAAAAAAAACTGCAATAATTACAGTTGCAAGGTTAAGAGTAGTGGGAGTTGGCACCCAGAACACTCCAATGGGCAGAAGTGGTCTGGGTGCCTGGAGTGTCCCTTTTAAAGAAAGGCACATGCCAAGTACAAATACATAGCATTAGACAATCTTTAAACAGATAGTAGGAATCTGCTCCCATATTATTTGACAGTTATATTAAAATAATTGTTGAAAGAGACATTACATGGTTCTCTGTCTAAAAGGATCTGGCTTGCAAAATATATGGAAGCGTGTTTGCAAAGTACCTCTTCTTATATGGACCCTGACCCTTAAAATATGGTATTCTCACTTGAGAACCTAACTTTTCACACATGCATTTACTACTTACTACATTATAAAATGTTTTATATTGAGTTATGTTACTCTGTACTTGGAACATTAAAGGAACACTCTAAACACCATAACTACTACAGTGAACTGTAGTGGTTATGGTACCATGAGTTCTGTAGCTTTCCACCATTGTATGTAGTCAAACTGTTTTAGAAAGGTTTGACTTCTTACCTGGGATCGGCCATGCACCGCTCCCTGTCTCCTCTCAGTCGAAACAGCCTGATAAAGAGCTTCTATTATCACTCCTGAGCTAATCCTGACAGCGCAGAGCCAGCTGATCGCATTCAGGCAAGCACTGCCTGACTTAGATCTGAGCAGAGAGATTCTGCCTGTAGTGGAAACAGTGCATGGCATCTGGAATACCCTTGTTAAGACATCGAACGATTTGACTACTTTCAATTAGGGGGTACCAGGGCACTCCAGGTACCATAAATACAACAGTGCAATGTAAAGTTTATGTTGCTTGGAAAGTTCCCTTAATATTATTTTTTTTTTTTTTATTATTATTATTATTTTAAAAGTACACTGCCACCCCCTAATAACTTCAGCTCAATTAAGTTGGTAGACTTAAAGAAACAGGAGTAATTGGCCCCCATCTTACCTTCAGGTGATAAGCCATTTTCCATTGCTTTAATCCCAAAACTGGTCTCTCGGCACCTGATATAGCTGCCACCTCTCTTCTTTCCATACTAAATATGTGTAGTTCCCATTCTTTCTCCAGACTCCAGTAAAAATCACAACACTACTAACCAGCAAGTAGCAGATCCACTTTAAGGTGAACCTTATACGATATATTAACTTTAACAGAAATCCTCCCATAGTCAATACAGTATATCATTTATCATAGTGATATATTATATATTCAGAAAAAAAAATATTAACTTTACTCACCAACAGTCCAATACCAGGACTGCTGGGCAAGAGCCTGCTCTCATTCTCCCCTTTTTAAAGACCTGTAGTATAGCTCTTTGACAAGCACTTAAAAGCTGTGACTGTGTGTGCATGCTCGCAGCTCCAGCAAAGAGGCTGCTCAGATTGGTTAATTCCCCCGGATCACACTGTTTTTCTATATACCCCAAAAGAAAACATGCACAAAAAATAAAGGCGTATTTTAATTGGGGATATATATACTAAATAGTGAAAAATAAAGTTAAAAAAGAAAATCATCAGAGTGTTACTTTAAACTTTTTTTTATTATTAATTTTTAAAGCTTTTACAGCGCTTGTACAGTCTTCTTGCTGTTACTGCTGCTCTTTTGGTAAACTCTTCAATTCTGCTGACTTTTATCCATCAGATGCTTCTTACAGAGAAGCATTGAGGACACACATTGCATACACGGGTATTACTGCTTTCCACCATTCCAACACTTTTTGTGCTGTGCGTGATGACGCCATATTGAAAATCAAAGGTCTTAATGGAGCACTCCATAAAACATACCCACTACAGCCTGCTATAGTCGTTGTGGTGACAGGAGTTCCCTGGCACCCTCTCATTGTAAGTAAACAGTATGACAACATGAAAACTCCTGGAAAGAGCTTCCATTAGCTTCACTAAGTTAAGTCCTGCCATGCAAGGCCAGCACATTTGTTGCGATGCATTAACTTGGCTCTCCCCAAATTAAAAATAGTAATCAAGACATGGACCCATGCTCACTGTGCGTAGATGGGTATCAGCTACACCTCCCTGACAAAGCCCAAGCAAAGATGAAACGATCATCCAGGGTTGCTGTATCTCTTGTGCACAGGGAATTTACTGACCTTTTCGATCTAGACTGCACTTATGGGCGGGATCAGTCTGATATGCAAATAATATAAGTTTAATCTGTAATGGCACAAGTGAACAAAAACTAATTAGATACCTAGTTACTCTAAGCTTTAGCATATTCCATGAGTTTTCATATTCAATTGTTTTGTTGCAGGGAGTGTAACAAGGTTAATTTGTAAACTTTCCATATATATATATTCCGTATGATGTGTACTTTTTAAAATTTTGACAGAAAGTGGGCACACTGTTAACACATAAAGAACTTCAGCATGCTGATGTGCTTTTGGGGCCTGGAGTGTCTTTGAGGACTTTACTGGGTCTGATGTTCTGGGGAACAAAATAGGGAAAAGGAAGGTAGAAGTAGAGAAATTAAAGTGGTTATTTCCATTAACATGACTTCACAAGTATATATTGTGTTTAGTAGAACTGTAGATGCATGATATTAAGGTGTTTTCTATGTAAATATGTTCATATTCCTATTACTGAAACAAGTGGGGATTTTTTGACTTTGCAGAATGGCTGTTTTTGTGGACCTGAATATTATGAATACAGATGTTAAGAGACTGAAAAATATAATTGAGATGGCAGCGCACCGTAAGTGACTTATTTATTGTGAATATGCCTTTAAGATAATTTTTAGGACTGGCAAAATCTACATAAACTCTATGGCAGGGTCTTTTTTTATTTTTATTTTTTTAACACTTTCATGGAAAGTATTTTTATCATGTCTTTTAATTCAATTTCTGGTTCATAACTCATCTTGCTAAAGAAAAATAATATAATTCATGCAACTTCAATGAGATGAAGCGGTCATCGTGCCTATAGTGTCCCTTTAAACCAACTCTCTCGGTGAGTGTATCTGTAAATTTGACTTCTGTATCAAGTTTAAATTAAAAAAAAAAAAAAAAATTGTGTTATTTCTTAGACTAGCACACCCGGTCAGATAGTGGACAGGAGGTCAAATTAAATATATAATAAAATTACAAGGCAGATGTTTAATTATATATTTAAAATCTGTCTCCCAGGGCTATGCTCTTCTTCTCCTGCTGGCTCCTTATTTCTCATCAGCTCCTCTCATGCTGTTCACCGTGTCTGAGCATTGTACATATGCTCTTGTTCAAACCAATCATGTACATATTTGCCTCAATTTAATATTGTTGTATAAACTTTCCAAATGATTTACATTTTTGGGATAAACTTTTTTTAAAAATTATTTTTTTTAAATTGTGAACAATATTTTATTTTTGTAATATTTTTTTTTTATATATATATATTTTTTTTAAATATATATTTTTGATATTTTATTATGTTGAAATAAATTATTTTAAATGTGTATGCAACAAATATTAAATAATTTGGAAAGCTTATCCAACAGTATTCAATCGAGGTCTTTGTTCAAAGGAGAGTGTGCCTAATGGTTTGGGGTCAAGTAATGGTGCATTAAGCTTTTTTTTTTTTTTTTTTTTTAATTGAATAAAGGTGATTTGATTGAATAGAATGGTACAACAGAACTATGAAAGCAAAATTAACTTAAAATTGTAGTTTAAGCCCCATAACCACTAGAACGTTTTGTAAAACCCTGGTGCGGTCCAACTGTAAGTAGGCATATTATTTTGAAACGTTTCATACTTGCCTGGGTTCCCCCAGATACTTCTGGTCCAACTCCGTATTCAGATATCACTAACACAGAAGTATTTCTTCTTATATACTTTCTTACATCATTTACATGTATGTGCATGGTTCCCATGTAAATAAAACATTTTAATATGCAAACTGAATGTGATGCAACATTTTAGATGCACAGAAACAAAAAGATTATTTATTTTTCATCATGTTTCCCTTTTAAATTTAACACCTGTTGTTCCTTCCAGGCTAATTATGAATTATTATTCTTCCAGTTATTTATCTTGGCAAATTGAACATGCATAGGACATTTGTAATCATCCATTGACTGCTACAATGATCTTAACAACATGGTGCTTGGTTAGTGCTGAGTCTGCTAATTGGACAACACAGCATCTGGCAAGGGGGGCAAGAACCATACTGTTTTAAAACATATGTTGATCACGTGGAATAGTTGTTAATTGCTAGTTTGATAATTGATCTGCAATTTACTTGTGATTTTCTGATTTCAGTTGGTTATTCGACGGTTGCTGTCAATCATGTTGTTGAATTTGACAAGAAGAAAACTGTAAGTTTAAATAGCCATTTTCCTAGTACCATCTTTAGAACCCAAATCAAAAATCAACTAAGAAATTAAATACACTACAAATTAGATTAAAATTTTCCACATTCCATTAATTTTAATTCCGTCATCTAGTAGACTTCAGTGTAATTGACAGAAAAACTGTGAGCGATAAGAATAGTATCGCGTAAACGGCACCCATTTGGTGACTGTCTTCCTTGCTAACAAAGTGTCGTGTTTGCAGAAGGATACAGAATCTATGCACATCTTGTGAAAATATTGAATATGAGAAGGTATTTTTATATTTGGCGCTGGCTTTTTCCCCATTACTGCTGCAAGCAAATAACATATTGCTTATGTGATTCATCCTTTCGTCAATTGAATATTACTGCAATTTGTTCACTCATGATTCCAATGAATCAACACATGGCTCAAAATTGACAAATACAGTTTCCTCTGACTACAAATGCCGTAGTATATTGCTTTCAGCAGTCCTTATCTTTTCAAATTTATTAATAGATTATGCATAAGGGCTCTACTTGCGAGTCATAGAATTTCCTTGTTGCAAATTGATGCAATAAGTGAATTTGAGCACTGCCAGTGGCTTTTAGTAATAGTGATTTTGTAAAACCTGGGACCACCTTCTCACTCTCTGACATCATACGAGGCTTCTTATTATTCCTTTGCTGTCGATGAATAATCTAATTTGTTTGTGCAATATGTGCACACCACATGCACAATGTTGACAGACATCTCTTTCCTCCCCTTTTTGGCCTTCGATCACTAAAAACATTACGGTTCCCCAAAAAAATGTGAACCAAGCACTATAAAATATCAACTACAGTATGGCTGCTATATTTCTGTTAGCAAATACATTTTACATATTGCAGCACAGCACTTTTCATTAATCTAGAAATTCTGAAACTTTTTGAGGTTTTTCTGATAGTCTATGGCAATGTAGATGACTGATAGACATGTCACATTCTTAATAGGAAGTAGCCAAGCTGCAGATTGCGCTAAAATAAGGGGCACGTGCCATTAATCTGTAGTCATGGAGGGTGGCCTCCAACTGTGTGGTTCTATTTTACTTGGAACCTTGTAAGTGTTTCCATTTTCTTCCCGGCCGGGTGATTCATCTTATGGGAAAGTCTGTAGTTTTCCTTTGGTTATAAAAGAAGATCAAAGATCAGCATCTTTGAGGTATTGGAAAGGAAAAGAAAATGGTCTATTAAGCCATTTTGTTCTCAAAATGTGTGTTTCTGTGCCCTGTGTACAATAAAAGAGAATTATTTGACAAAAGTATAACAAAATACAGTGCATTGATTGCCCAACTATCCCAAAGATAGTTTGCTTTCCAAAAGTTTCTTTGATTTTGAAGATAGAGAATAAAACACAGTTAAGAAAATAAACAGTACTGTCTTTTGTACTAAGGTAGATATGTTTTCATATGTTAATGTACTGAACTGGACACCCTTAAATAATCTTTAACCCTTAGGAGAACAAAATATTGTAAAATAAATGTCGTACACATAGGCAAATGTCTTGGATGTGCATATTGTAAACGTGCATACATTTTAATTATTTTATTTATGTTATAGGAAATTGCCAAACCAATGTCTGTTACAGATATATTTTCATCACCACCAACTGTACAGGTAAGTTTCGTTACTAAACCTGTAATTTCAATACTTAGGATATATACTACACTACCTCTCTACCCACAATCGATAGTGCATCCCTATCTGCCCACAATTTATAGTGTGTTCATCATGACTGCCTTGAAATCACATATATCGGCCATTTGTCAACTCTTCATATTTTAGCCAAATACTGTTATAAATCTTTAATTCTAATGGAGGCTGTCTTACTAGCCTCTTTCCAATTTTTAGTTCGTGCTTTTTGAAATCATTTTGACACAGCTTTGTTCTTTTTAGATTGAGAAACCCATGTACCTGCAATATTTTTCCATAATGCTTTGTGCTGTGTTCTTGTAACATATTGTGTACTTCTCTTTCTGTTTAGGGGAAATGCAAACCAATCAAAGTTCTAAATAGGCTAACCATTATAGCCTCAGACCCATCTCATTGCAATGTGTTGGTATGTAATGAAAATTCAGTTTGTTTGTTTGTTTTTTTATTCTTTATTTTTGTTGTGCAAAAGTTTGACAGACAAGCTCGCCATGCCACAACAGTAAATACAGACATTTCAAGAGGCGTAAGACTGTGGCATGTAGTAGCACTGCACATTTTTAAGATAAAGATAAACATAGTGATGCATATAGTGTTGCTTAAAAAGAAAACAGTAGAATTGTTTGAGACATACTATATGGATTGACAATAACGTAGTCGAGTATAATACATCAAGATAAGGGAATACGCTAAACTGTAATTAGTTTGTCAGCAGGGTAGCCGCTGGGTACTATGGTTGGTGTTACGGCAGAAGGGAGGATGTCATTTAAATAGGCTGGTATGACCTCAGAGGTGCGCCGCCTAGGGCAGGAGCCCGCTTGTGCCAATCTAGCTGTATTATTACAGCAGGAATATTTGTATTTTCATAATGCAAGTTATATGTCAACATTGTGTAGATTCTAGCAAAAAGTCATGTTCGCCTACGCGGAGGCACAGTATGGTTGCAGATGATAACCATGTAACAGTTTAATAGTGCGTGTGTGTGCTTAGTTAACACGTTCTAGCACAGTGAGTAACCGGCCGTGGTCTAATTCACTAGGTTTCTAAGTGAAGTTCGTTAGGGAGGCACATTACATTGGTCCCCCACCTTTGTTGCATTGGGCCAGTCAATGGGATCTGCTGTGGGTGACCGAGGCAATCCGCCGACTGTGGTCGTCAGGGGTGCCCATACTTAGTTTAACCGCTTTTTAGCAGGTTCTTTTGTAGAGTCTTGTTAGGCCGTTACTGTGGGTGGTCGCGCCTATGCGTGAACAATAGACAATATAATTTGAGATTCTAGGCAGAGAAAATCAAGTTAAGCACCTTAAGGTAGTGACCCATATCGCCTATCGCTTGCCAGTTTCTGGTCATTAGCAGGAAGTCATATAACATGTACACATACTAGGCATTCTAAGTTAATGTACCCAGAGTAACCACACAGAGCACGAACAAACAAAGTAGCAGCATTTACCACCTGGCGCCTGCCATCGTAGAGAGTTAGTAGGAAGTCCTGTAACTTTTAAACATGCTAGACTTTCTGTGCATTCCAATATGTTAATCATAAAGGTATAAGGTTGATGTATCCCAAACCAGGATTTAAGTCTCATGCTTTCACGAGGCCATGCGTCGGTTGTCTCTGTTTTTAGTCCCCTGGGCTTGCCTCAGGCAGGTGGGGGTCTCTCCGTGGTTCAAATGGGGCGATGTTGTCCACATCCCATTGTCGTCTCCGAGGGCTGCCCCTTCTGGATTCCCTCTGTGTTGTGATGCCCTGCTGAGTCAGAAACAATTGGCCTTCCTCTGGTGAGTGTATTGTATGGGTTATCCCCTCCGCGGTGATCTGAAGGGAGCGTGGTGTGCCCCAGCGGTACGGGATCTTCTTCCGTCTCAGCACGCTGGTGATAGGGCGCATTGTTTGCCTCCATTGCATGGTGGGTTTTGAGAGGTCATTATAGAATGTCAGGTTGTGCCTCTCGAAGGCCAGGAACGGCAAATCCCTGACCGCTGCCATAATCGCCGTTTTGTCCAGGTGTGTGACAAGCTGTATAATGATATCGCTGGATGCCTGTTGGGGCTGTCTGCCCTGCCTGCGGATTCTGTATATGTTATCCACCAGGATGTTCTTAGCCTGTTTGTGGGGAAGTATTTGCTGGAGCAAGCGCCCCACGTATTGCGGCAGTTCAGTCTTGTCTATCGTAGTAGGGATACCCCTAATCTTGATATTCTTGCTGCGGCTGCGGTCTTCATATTCAGTTAGTTTTAGTGTCATAGTTGCTTGTGAGGCAGTTAGCCGTTTCTGCTCTGCGGCAAGTGTGGTTTGCACGGCTTTGATGTGGGCCGATGTTTCCTCTGCGGCCTTGAGGCGCCCTGTAAGTGAGAGCATGTCCTCTCTCAGAATTGCAAGGTCCGCCTGGAACATCTTGCGGATGTCGCGGAGGAGTGATTTAATGTCTCCCTTCGTGGCCGGGGTGTTGTTCTCCTCGTCCGAGGATTCCGTATATAGGCCTCCAGCTTGTGGGATCTCGTCTAGGGCGTCCATGGAGGTTTCTTCCTCCTCCGATGAGGTCTCCGCATGTGGGTCCGCCATCTTAGGCGCCACGTGCGGGAGGCTTCCCTGCATGTATTCCCCAATATTACGGGTTCCCGATGCCAGGGCTGCCTTGATCTTCTTGGCCCGTTTTCCCATTGCGTAGGTGGGGTGCTAGTCGGTGTTCCGGTGATTTTTCACCCGGTTAGCTGTTGTTTTTAGGCTTGTTGGTACGGAGCTACAGCTCTGCACGTCTGTTCGGTTTGCTTGCTTGGCTCCGCCTCCTCGTTTGTTTGTTTTTTGTTTTGTTTCCTCAGAAATGTTTGGAAAATGGTGGTGCATTTCTTAATTAAAAAAAAATAATAATTCAATACAACACTCTTAACTATTTATTTTCCCTTTTTAACTTATTTAAATGTGGTGTAAACCTCTCCATTGTTCCTCTGTTTTTCCATTATCTTGGTTTTTGTTTCGGTCCTCAAGTACTGCTGTGTTCAGCTGAATACATCTCTAAGCAAGGAAGTCATTTCATTTCTAATATAAATACAGAACAGCAGCATATGCTTGGGACCAATGGGGTCAACCAGGGAAATAATTGCAAATAAACAAGCACCCACAGCAGTTTCATAAAAATAGTATATTGTGTTTTTCTTTCTTTAGCACCTTGCTTATGTAAAACCTGACAAGTTAATTTACTATAATTTTAAGCAAACAAAATAATGTCATAAAATAACTAGGACACACTTTCTAATGAATTGTCATGTGTAAAATATTTGAGAATATGTAAAATTTATGTTTTAAACAATTCAATTCCTGTCCCTTTTTATAAACCTTTTTCACCCCCATTTCTCCTCTTTTTTTTTTTGTTAATGTATTTGATTTTTATGTTCTTTTTTTGTTTTTGACTTCTTTTATGTCACGATACTTGGCTATATAAATCTGTCAAGCCATTATCATTTTTTTTAATGTAACACCAACAATGTTGCATCGCTGAGTGCATTAAAGGGACACTATAGTCACCAGAACAGCTACAGCTTATTGAATTTGTTCTGGTGAGTAGAATCATTACCTGCAGGCTTTTTGCTGTAAACACTGTCTTTTCAGAGAAAATGCAGTGCTTACATTACAGCCTAGTGATAACTTCACTGGCCACTCCTCAGATAGCTGTTAGAGATCCTTCATGGGTCATGGCTGCCTAAAATGCATCCAAACATTGAGTGTCTCCTCCCTCTGCATGCAGACACGGAACTTTCCTCATAGAGATTCATTGATTCAATTCATCTCTATGAGGAGATGCTGATTGGCCAGGGCTGTGTTTGAATCATGCTGGCTCTGCCCCTGATCTGCCTCCTTGTCAGTCTCAGCCAATCCTATGGGGAATCATTGTGATTGGATCAAGCTATCACTTCTGATGATGTCAGCAGACAGCTTGTTTTTCTGAGGCAAACAACATGCAGAGTTACAGCTTCAGGCTTATATACAGTAAGATTTTGCTGTATTAATGGAGGCATGAGGGCACCATGGTGATTTTAACCCTATAGGGTCAGGAATACATGTTTGTGTTCCTGACCCTATAGTGCTCCTTTAAATAAGTTATACCAAAACTTAGAAAACAAAACAGAGCTTTGATTTATTTTTTTCTGTTTTGTTTTGATTTTCTGCCTGCTTCACAAATTTGCCATCATTTAATCACATTCAGCATCTGTCGTTGACAGTACATAATGCACAGAACGTCATGTAGCCATTAATCTATTTCCTGATATCCCAATACCTTATGCATGCATGTTATTATTTTTTTTATTATTTTATAGAGATCAACCTCCCCTTCTACCAGATGGTACGATATTGTTGCTGTGTTTCCTAAAACAGAAAAATTATTTCATGTAAGTAAGAATTGTCCCTGTTAGAAACTAGATTATAAATTTTCACTAGAGCATAAAGTTATTAAAGCGTTAACAATTACCTTTTCTGTATATTAAGGTGTTGTCGACATCATGCAGAATTTTTAACAACTGTTTATTCTTTATAGAATTAGCCCCTGAAGTATGTCATTCAATACAGTAATCACAATTTGTCCATAATGAACATTTGCAGTGATGCAACATCTTTAATTATTTGCTAGAAGTAGAGCTGCTGATTCCAAGTAAGTAGGCAAGTTGAGCATCAAAGGAAATGGAGTTTAGAAACTATCCCCTGATAGTTTCTAAACTACATTTTCTTTGATGTTCAACTAGGATGTTAAAGGGACACTATAGGCACCAAGACCACTTCAGCTCATTGAAGTGCTGGGTGCAATGACCCTGTCCTGCTTATTCCAGTTTTTGACAAACACTGCCTCTAGTGGTGGCAAGTTCTTATTTAGGGCATCCAGTGTCCGTTAAATCCTAATAGGAAAGGACTCAAGCAATGCTTTCCTATGGGAAGGGCTCAATGCCTCAATTCTCTCCCGACCCAGCGCCAAGAGAGAGCGGTGCTTGAATCGGGTAAGTGTTACAAGGTTGTTTTTTTGGTTTTGTTTAACCCTTGCTGTGCCTGGAGAGGGTATATGTGGGGTGCGTAGTAGAAGGAACTGTAGTGTAAGGAATACAGACTTGTATTCATTACACTATAAAATCCCTTTAAGGGTCCTTAGTGTACTTATCTTGCAAATTTGATACATTATAATATCATAGACAGTAAAGTTCATTTTATTCTGTAAAGTCATATTGAAAGTAAGAAAATAGATATTCATATACTTTTTTTCCCAGGATTGTATTTTGTACCAATATGGCTTTCTCAGTGGGCTCATATATCCACTGCAGACGGCTCAATGCTAATACTCCTTATTTATACTATATGTGAAGCAGACTTGTCATCTACACATTTTTTAATTGTGTGTCTGGTCATTTTATACTGTTCTTTTGATCCTTAACTAAAATGGGATTTGCATGTTCTTTTGCTATATAAAAGTCTGTGTGACCCAAGTCTCTGCAAAATAAATCCTCGTCTTTAAGGGTCAGTCTGAAATACTTCACCGGAGTGCATAAATCCATTTTAAAAACAAATTAAAATGAATAAGTAAACAAAAGCACAGATAAGTAGGTCCGTGTGTGAATTTCTTTATAGAGAATCTATCATGACAGGTTCACTTTAACTGAAAAAGCTCAAAAGGCATTGAATTTGTCATAGAGATAAATTTATATATTCAGTGCAATTTTTTCAGTTATTGCATTATGTACCTTGGGTTCCTGCACTTCCATGGCTGCAGCTCTGTGGGTGTTACAATTACTTCATCCATCTAATCCTCTGGTCAGCTCAAAAATTGTTTGCTAGAGAATAACTGTAGCAACCACAACACATGGGTTGGTGTGCAGGAGGACAGCCTATAAGAGGGTTTTCCGGCTCTCCTTGTCAGTCAGTCCTTCAGCACAGGGATCTATGCAACTCTATTCTACTAAATTAATTGACAGGAGGGACAAACAGGTTGTTGTTTTTTGGGGGTTTTTTTGTCTCCCTTTCTGTACATTTTCTAGCAATTCTGTTAGCAGACGTGTAGGTAATACTAAATTTACCGTTAAAATTGTATTATTAAATTGTTAAAGCTCGCTGCAGCGGTTATGGTGACGTGAGTGCTTTGCAGACACATTTGTATCTAACAGACTTGGTACATAGTCGTGAGATTTACAAATAAATACTGAATATGCAGTATCCCCTTTCTGCATGTGGTTGAGTGTCAGTAAATAATATATCCACAAAATGAGTTTTTATTTTATCTTTCTCCTACAGGCTGCTTGCACCAATATAGACGTGGATTTGGTGTGCATAAATGTAACTGAAAAACAGCCATTCTTCATCAGAAAACCTCCTATAAATGCAGTAAGTTTAAAAGGATACTTAAAATAGATATGGATATGTATATAGTGCTCTAACATGTTTTTAGCGAGTGTCTGTGTCAATATTTCCACTCATAGGCAAGTGGAAATTAAGATTTGATGTGTCCTGAGTGATATTTTAATCAATATTGAGTTAAATTAATCAGAGTAGCAATTCTTCTTGATAGATATTGACTACCGTATTGACTCCGGTGATATCATCGGGAGGTATTACACACAGATTGACATATCCCTGCTGCCTTTGCAGTTGCTTTCATCAATGTGATCCTGTTTTTTTTTTTTTTTTTCCTTATTTATTAAAGAAAGTTTTTAAAACCGCACACTTTGACTGAGGATCCATCAGTAATATCAAGTAAATCTGGAGTAAATACACTGCATGTATGTACTTCACATCAATAAGAAATTTGCTCTCAGTGCTCTTGGTACTCAAGTGGTACTTCAGTATTGTTTAGTATGGAAAGTGGTGTTTTAGTATTGTAGAATTACGTTTTATGTAATTAAACACGTTCCATCATCCATCAGTATCAGAACAATCTCTTGCCGGCAGAGTTGTGGGAAAAAAGTAATTGACTTATTGTTCATCTGTGAATTTAAAACTGAAAGAATTTAATTAGGACTCTCCTGTTTTAGGCAATAGAAAGAGGCATATTTTTTGAGCTGATTTATACCCCAGCAATCAAAGATTCTACAATAAGGCGATACACAATATCCAATGCTCTCAGTTTGATGCAATTTTGCAAGGGAAAGGTAAGTTTTTACAACATATTCACATTTTCCTCATCAATAAATAAACATTCTTAGCAACTGTAACCATTACCAAACCATTTATGTCATGTCTCATAAAGATGTCTTAGAATAAATGCTTCCTTTCCTCCCTGTTTCTGTCAAATAGTATTCAACCAGTTTTCCAAAAATCGTGAGTGTTCCGACACCTAAGTCTCAGTCCTTTTCCTGCCACTTGGATAATATAGAAGAAAGCTATATCATTATCTGCCCAAGGATACTATAAAAGGTTTAACAAAAATTTAAAAAATGAGAGGGCAGTACTCAAAGTACACTTCAACATCTCAATATAGTGGTTATACTGCAGAGTGTTCCATGAAGCTGGGTGTATATTTGTTTTCTTTTCTTTTTTTTTTCATATCAGTCTTCTGTCTTGGGAACTGTTCACATTTCTCCAGGCCAAATATCCTACTGGGCCACCTGAAGGTTTATGATACCTCCACATTAGCACCCCAGGCTATTTGTTGTCTACAGGGTAAATCTGCATGTAAAATATTTTCCCTAGATGTCAGCTGGCAGCTTTCTCACTGACCCCTAAATTGACTTATTGGCTTTGTTCAAAGCGCTCTCTCATATGAAGGGGACCAAAAACTTAAATAATTTGAGCAACTAGTAGTATTTTTATTTATTTTTCTGCTGCACTGGTAGATGGCACCACAGCGCCTTTATAAAATATATGCTATGGCATCCTCCACATGTTTGAGATGTGGTGAATCTCTGTTTGATTACTTTTACAAATTTTCTGGTTCTGTCGTATGCGCCACAAATTCTGGTTTGACATTCAAGATTCCATAAACCAGTTAGCGCGAACACACCTACCCCCTATTTCTGCATACTACCTAAACATTTGCTGATCTCTTTGGGGCCTTCTAAACGCATAACATTGGATATTTTAGTAGCTACAAAAACTTGCACTGCTAGGCTCCGGAAGAAGCCAGTTTCCCCTGGTAGACATACTGTTCTTGTTACACTTTCACTTAGCCGCTTAATCCTTACTTGGAGGAATTGACACAAGTTCAAACATGGCCATGCCCTTCTGATGTTTTATAGATGTTTGTTTGCTCCCATTATGTACACATAATACCTGGTATATTGCTAAGTTATTGTAAGCAATGTCTCACACGTTTTTATACATATACTTTTTCTCTCCATGGTGACCTATGACCTTGTTAATTGCATATGGTTGTTTATTATTTTATTTTCACTTGCTACCTATGTGTACTCATTAATGTATGCCTCTTTATACTAACAAATTTAAGAGATCAGAAACACAAATGAAAATGTTATACTTACTATAAGGGGATTTTTGAAATAAAAAATATTTTTAAAAAAAAACATACTTTAAAGGGTATTGGTTCAAGAAAATAACAAAGGAGAACATAAGTGAATGCAGTTATAATAGTAGTTCCTAACTGGGACTGCTGGTAAAAGAACATGGGAGCTGGGTATTTTTTCATACATTCAAACGTGAATGTTCTGTGGTTTTCATTCTAATACATACGTAAACAATCTTAAATACCTATTTCAAATGTCTTCACATGGTTTGCATTGGTAATAAAGTAAAGGCATACAGGGCTATTCACTAAAGCAAAAATTGTTGAGAATTCAAAGAACTTCAAATGCAAAGGAAAAGTAGCAGAACTGGAAAATAAATCTCCAAGTCAGCTAGGCTTCCAGTTCAGCTACTTTCGACTTAAAGGGACACTGTAGGCACCCAGACCATTTCAGCTCATTGAAGTGGTCTGGGAGCCAACTCCCATCACCCTTAACCCTGCAGGTGTAATTATTGCAGTTTTTATAAACTGCAATAATTACCTTGCAGGGTTAAGTCCTCCTCTAGTGGCTGCCTACTAGACAACTTTTGGTCATCTAAACAATGCTGGACGACCTCCAGCGTCACCGGAATCCCCATAGGAAAGCATTAAATAATGCTTTCAAACGGGGAAGTCTAATTCGCATGGGGCCATTGCCGCGAATGCGCATTAGGTCTCCCCCTCTGACGTTTGTGCAGCGTGGGCGGAGCCTGACCCCATCAGGCATCGGTACTGGATTCCGGTAAGTGTCTGAAGGGCTTTTAACCCCTTCAGCGAAGTGGGATGGGTGGCAGGCGGGAAGGGGGCACTCCAGGATTCTCTAGTGCCAGGAAAACAAACCCGTTTTGGAGGATCTGGAGAATCCCATTCAATTTTGAAATTCCTGACAGTTCTCAATTTGGTTAAACTCCCTGTATGTGTGTATTTTATTATGGTTCCCATGTGCAAGGCCAAAGTCCTCCTATGCATTTCTTTTATATAGCAACATAGAAATACTTTTCAGAACTCTTGTACTCCAGTAGTGATCTTACTAAAAGCTCTAAACTAGTTTACTTGGAATTAGTCAACTGGTTTTGTCTGTTCTGTTTGTTGTTGGAATACATATTCTGTGTTAAATTATCATTTGTTTTTTAAGAGTGTCAGTATTACCCCTGAACTCTGTTTGGATCTATTACAAATACATGTGTTTTCTTTTTCTTAATTTCTAGAACATTATTTTGTCGAGTGGTGCTGAAAGGGTAAGTTAATACATTTTGTGGTCTTTAACCCCTTAAAGGATGATTGTCATGGAAATGGCAATGGCTCTTTGTGCTCTGTGTGAAACTGCAGCAGTAAGCAATTTAGGCTGGTGGGATTTTTTCAGATAACAGTACGGTATTTCATGTTTTCACACTTTGGTTTATAAAAAAAAAGAAATGTGCTGAAAAACTCAACTTATACTCCACTATATACGGTAATATTTTGTTAAACAAGTGGTATGTTTCTTTTCAATGTAGGATCTGGTTTATGATTTTATTATTCTGCCGTGGTTAAGGAAATGCTTAATGCAATCACTGTCAAATCACATCCTTGTGACAAAGGATCTTTAATTATTTTGTTTATTGTCCTGATGGTGGTGCAGAGCACTGGGGGAAACCAATACCATGTCCCTAACTATTACAGAGAATCTATGTATGGGTTGGAATTTATAGGTCAGCAAATAAGATTTTATTGAGAAAGTAATGAGATGATTTGGAGACCATATGGTGTATATATCAATTTGTTGATGGAACCAATTCATTTTCCAAATTATTTCAAACCACTCAAGCTAGACATGTCTTACTGGATAATGTAAATGCTAGTTTGACAAGCCCTAAATACATTTTTCTAAAGGGACTCATTATAGCACGTGGGGAATGAATCGAATAACTCCCTTGCATTGTCCTTGTCGTTGCGTAATTATCCATTTGGGTTATGTTCTCTTCGCTGGTTAATCAAAGTACATAAAACTTCACACTTTCCAAGTACATTCTCATTGAGCAGTGGTAGCTAACCTCTTGTTGACTACATTCATATGATGCTCAGTCCTCCTCAAAGCTGGAGCGGTAAAGTTTAGCAGATGCCATTAACGGCTTAGAAAAACTTAGTTATGCTATGTAATAATATTCTAGGCTGCAGTAAGCCTATTTAATGGCATGCTTTAAAGCTTACATTTCAAATTAAATGGAAGTTGAATTTGTGGAAGGTTATTCAATGAAGTGTGAATTGTAAAGAATTCAATGAATTAATGTTTTTGACCAAAATAGCCAAAGCAAAAATATAACTGACTAATTTTAATATTTTGACACTAAATTGCAAACATTTGTTTATTGTAGGAATTTGACCTCAACATTAGTCAATTACCATAAATGAGAGCCACTTTTCTTACTTTGCATTTAGTTTTAGATCCTCACGCGTAACAGTTTTAGGGATACTCTAAGAACCAAAAAAATGTTAGCTTAAAGAAGTGGTTTTGGTGTATTGATCATGCCCCTGCAGTCTCACTGCTCAAATATCTGTCCTTTGCATTTGCTTTCGAACAGCGCAGCATTTTGCTGTGCGTCTGCGCTAGCCTCCCAGTGCTTCGCCAAAGAGGCGAGGAGAGCAGCGCAGCATTGGCTGAAACCCTCACACAGTGGGGAGGGGGAGACACCTATATAGGTCACAGGTCAATATAGTGTTAGGATTACATGTATTTCAATCGCTATGCTGTTCCTTTAAACTAAAGTTGTTTTGGTACTTAGTGTTCCTTTAATAACCCTGTCTGCATTTATATGCTAACCAGACAAGAGTTGCTTGATAGTACGCAAATTTCAGGAAATCAATATATATATAGCGCTGATTAAATTTTATTATACAGCCAAGAAAAGGCTTAACTTGATGGATTCATGTCTCTTTTTAGCCTATGTAACTATGAGTTTAAAAAAGTACATATCATCTAAATTGGTGTGTAAAATATTCAGACATTACTCTTCAAATGTTATAGAGGCCAACTAACTGTTTAATCTGTGAGCTGCAATTACTAAGGGTTTTATGTGACTTTTTATCTGCATAGTGTTTAACAATTTTTTTTTTTTTTCTTGCAGCCATTGGAAATGAGAGGTCCTTATGATGTTTCTACATTGTATCCTTTCTTGGGACAATTTTTTTATGAGCGCAGGATTCAAGGAGGAGTGCATGAGGTTTAATAGTAGAGATTGGACCACTGAATAAAAGAAGTGCATAAATAGATAATTCTAAAAGATTTAAAAAAAAAAAAACTTTGCACCCCTCTTTCCATGGGCATTGATCATACAGATTCTTTTTTTTTAATTCATATATCCATTGGAAATTTTTTTTTTTTTTTTTATATATTTTATATATATAATAAATATATATAAAAATAAATAAATTGAGGGGGAATAGGGTTGGTAACCATAGGCATTGAACATCAGTTTATTTATTGGTCAAAAAGGAAAGCATATCTGCCATGCATCAGTTTGTTTTTATCTCTTTGCTTAAAATTTCCATCCAATATTAAAATTAACCTTAGATTGACGCAATTGTGGGGTTAATGTTCTTGCAGTGTGCCTCCGTGTCTGAGGCACACTTCTCCAGGCAATCTTACTGTTTCAGCCCCTGTGATCTCTCTGACTGGCATTCAGAGCGATCACACGTGCCACAGTGAAACCCGATCTGTCGCCCTGCACCTCTGGGTGCACTGTGAAGTGCAGAGAGACAGATCAGTGCTGATCTGTTGCTCTCTGCAATAAAAAAAAAAGTTAGTTGTAAAATCCGACCCCTTCCCAATAAAATTTAACCCCTTCCCTGCCCTTTGATAACTGTCTGCAGTAATCAAAATACAGATAATAGTATTTATCTGTATTTTAATTTCTTTACTTTCATTTTTTTTTTTACCCTCAGGGGTTACATTTATTTAGTTAGTTAAATATTTGTAAAAAATATTTAATTATTTAGCTAGGGTGGGTAGAAGTTAGTGGGGAAATTGGGGGATTTACTGTTAGGCTAGTTAAAGGTTAACAGTAAAAAAAGTTTTAAAATAGTAAAGTTGTTAAAAGCTAAAGAAAAAACTTTTTCAAAGTTAAAAAAAACTTAAAAAGTTTAAAAAAAATTAAAGGGGAAAAAATGCATAATGCATAAAAATTCAAACTTAAACGTTGTCATATACCTGGTAAAGGTACATACAGGTTATTGCTGTGGATATTGCTGTGCTTAGATGACATAGCTGAGCAACATATGAACTATTGCACTGCTGTAGCACACATAAGGTTTGCAAAATATATATTGCAAACCCATTGTGTGTGTCTAAAAGGCATAAAAAATGCTTATTACCACTACACTTGGTACAAGCTAGCAGAAATATGATTTCATGCTAAGGTTCAAAATATGCCTTTTGAAATACCCTCGGGTGCCTTCTTTAAGAAATGGTATGCCTTTGTGGGGTAGTTGGAATAATCAACCTACTAAAAAATACTCCAAAGTGGGGTATGGACACAGTGTAAAAATTAAAAGTTAGAAAGAAACTTAAATGGCTGTGTCTCAAATGTTCCCCTTCAACGTTCACGTATACTTGGCAAAGGTACATATGGTGGTATTGCTGTGCTCAGACTAGCTAAGCAAGCAGAATAGCTAAGCAAGATAGAAAGTATTATAGGGGATTTAGCACACATAAGGTTTTCAAAATATACAGTACAAACTCACTATGTGTGTCAAAAAGGCAGAAAAATAATGCTTATAACCATTATACTTGGTACAAGCTAGTGGAAAAATGCTTTCACGCTAAGGTTCAAAATAATGGCAAAAATTGCTTGTGTCCTTAAAGGTAAGACAAGCTTCTAAAGCTGTGTCCTTAAGGGATAATGACCATTGGAGTGATACTAAAAAAGAAAGGGAAAAAAAGTTAGGTTAAGATACTTACCTTGTAATCAGAGGATTGCTATTCGGTTTGTCGGAAGGGGCCTCTAAAGCGGCTATATCTACCAATTGCCGAGCTGTTCTCCTTCATGGGGGTGAGTCTGGCTTTTATCAACCAATCCTAGAAAGGGCCAGCTAACATGTAGTGTATATAAATATAATTGTATATGTATACCTGTGAATTTTTATTTTTTTTTGAAATTTTTTTTTTTTCCTGAGGCCAATGTCATTTACTAATGTGCTTTATTAATGAAAATGTATATTAAAAGCAAAAGCATAGTCTGTGTAAAATTTAAATGACAGAATTTCAAAATATATCCACGTTATAGTGGTAAATATGGGAATCCCCTGCGGTTACCAAGAAATTAAAAATAAATCTGTGAAATTCAGATATCTCCGGCATTTAGATCTATATTAACAGGTAAAGATTTCACCTTCACTTAGGAAATGGGTTAAATGCAATTATTGCTGCTACACAGTTCTGCACAAGCCTGGGAAAATATCACAAAAGGCTATGAAAGGACACAATAGTGGAAATGTTACCAGTTCAGAGAATATTATGCATTAGTTTTCAATTTTTAAAACCTGTATCTGTAAATGTATGTTTTAGGACCAGAATACTTACTATATATTCTATATATTTCTTGTTATGTGGCCATAATCCTGTCTTGCTAAAAAAAACCTGGTACAAAAAAAATGATTTTGCAGTTTACCCACTTAATTATATGTGCTTTCAACCACAGAAACAAGAAAGACTGCTTTTGGCATTGTATACACGGAGAAGAAACCACAGACTGAAGAAGAATCATCTGAGCCAGTTTGCAAAAAAGCCAAAATGGAGTAATGTTTAGGATAAGACATGGGGGAGGGAGAATTCTGTGTTTGTGTGAGACATATGTTTATTTTTAATAAACTATAAAAAAAATTTAAAAAAATTGCAGCAACTTTATTAAGACGCGAATGCCACCTTAATTTTTAGTTTCTTGCTGTACATTGATTTAAGCCAATTCATTCCTTTCCTGTAATAGTTTGATTTGAATCAAAATGGTACCTCACAAAATAAACCATAAAATGGTTCAGAAATGTATCGGTATGTAAATAATAGCAGTACAGCTCATTTAATTCTTGCAGTTCTGGTAATTCCTGAAGATGATGTCCTTTTTGTAGAAACTTGACCGCCATACATGGAAGAACAATGGACCATCTGACATTATTCCTGTATAGTAATCTGCGTCAAGGTTGGGATTCTAAGCGTCTCCAACCAACAGAACACAGTCTGTCGGAACTAATATGTGTGATCGTGCTTGTAACTGTAACCATTTGCACAGACAAGAAATTTTCTGTAAAATATTCTACTCCTGATGTGTGTGTGTGTGTGTTTGTGTGTATATATATATATATTATATATATATATATTATATATAATATATACTGTTGTATACAGCAAACGCAGACTCAAAAGAATCCATGTTTAAAATGGAATGAGGCAAATAAGTAGATTCTTTGTTAAACTACTTTGCATATGCCCACCCAGAATCCTTTCCGGTAGAAACCGCACCCTGGATTTGTGATCTCTGTGGGAAAAGCAAGTCTTATGGCTTGACTGCTGTGCAGATTTTTGTTTAATATTGTATTAACTATAATATATATATATCTCTAAAGGAGAATCCTTTATTTTTGGGAGTAAGGGTTTTTTGTTTATCTTTTTGTGATAAATATATGTGGGATCTTAAATCTCAAATTAGCTGTCAACCAAGGCCTTATTTTGTGTCATCGGACGTGTCAATACAATGGTGTAGACATGTTTGAAATATATTAAAACTGTATTTTTTTTGTATTCATTTGAAAATAAATTAAATAAATGCACATTGCATCAGATGTCAGGTCTTCAAAGAGCCTTTTACCCACAAAACATGTGGATGGCCACTGCAAAACCTATGCCGTGTTTGCCATAAAATTTTGTTGTAGAAATTGCTGCAGCTTTAATGGTTTAGAAAAGGATATATATGAGTATCCACGCAAGTTTTGATAGTTGTGTCCTATGACTGAGCTGCCTGCATATATACCCAGTAAAACATTTCCTTGCACATTATTAAATATAACTGTTTGCCTCGATTTAAAAAAAAAAAAAAATGCACATAAGTTTCAGTATAACTTTGTTTATTTCTTAAACAGTTCAAATATCCGTCTACAGAGTATTTTTCTGACAAAACAGGAAATTAAAGTATTCCTTTAAAACTGTTGATTTCAAACAAAATTATTCTGTTTGGCTTTGTGTGTATTATTACACACTTTAAAACCTGCTATATTGCCCATTATAGCACGTGTAACAATTTCCACTTTCTGTGTTCGTATTTTTAAAGAATGGTAGGTCATCACATTACAGTGACACTTAACCCATTCACAAAGTGTTTACATCTCTTTATAGTATAGAGTTGCGTAATACTGTCATTGAAGACATTCTGGAGAGCAGGAACCAATTACAAGTTCGTCACCACTAGATGGCAGCTCATAACCACTGCAAAACCATCTAACTTGTACTGGTCTCTACAGCTCATCCTGCAAATAATTCCTACATAGACACATTAATACCACAATTCAAAGAAATGCCCAATGGTCGGTAGGTACAATTTTAGATTTACAAGTATGCATTATATGATGCCAATGAGAAGTGTATTTATACTCCTTTTCGCATTCATGGCACACGTTAAACTCTGATCTTATCCATTATAACATGTACTTAATAAATGTAGCAAACTGTCATATTCTGTTCTCAAGTCACATTGTTCTGTTTTTCAAACTGTTAGAATCCATATTTTTCTTACAGTGCTTATATACAATACAGTTTACAAAGTCATAAATAGGTCATTTACGTGTAAATCCGTGTATTCAATACAAAATGTACAGAAAATACATACAAATGTATAAAAAGACATCACGTTGTTTGAACTTTCCATTTGCCTCAGATCTATTCTCATGTTCATACACTTGCCCTCATTACATACAACTTCAGATTCAGACCAGTCTTCATAGAATAAGCTAGACAGGTGATCGATACCTTGCTTTCGCACCTGTCCTGCATTTAGTCACATAACATCATGTTCTAGTACAATGTATTAGAGCTGATGAATTATGTTGTAGCCTGCACAGGAGAACGTGTATAGTAGAATTAGTGTTTCCCACTGTTTAAATACATCTCCAATAAATAAGGCCATATGTACAAACGACAATTGCCATGGAAATCAACGGAATGAGCCGTCTGTCTGTTCCATATTTAGCACTTTGCCCATTTATAAAAGGCCTACTGGTTAACTGGTCTAATAACACTGTAACCATTGTGCAAGCTTTATTCACTTTATCATTAATCCTTCAATTTTTCTTAAATCCCTTGTTTTATGTCCTAGCAACTTTGCCAGATCAGAGTCCAGTTTGCTCTTCAGTGAGCAGTAGGTCCTTCCTCTACAGCAAAGCTGCCTTAATTTACATACAGCCAGGAAAGACTCATCTGGCATGCCTTGCATACATTATGTTAATCGCAATTGTAGCATCAGAAACCCAAAGCTACGAAAGAACCATGCAGTTCATCTGGCTATTGGTATAGCCGACTGCAGTGCTCACGTAAGGTTTGCTCACTTGAAATGGCAAATGCTGATGAAATTGCTGAACCCAGCGCCTGTCCTATTTTCAGTTTTGATCTCACTAGGTGTGCAATTTTTGTTTCATCTAAGCAAGTGCACAAATAAGCCTCCGAACATGTTACGTGCAGCATGCATGGTCCTTCAAATTCCACCAATCCTGCTACAATGCCAACCTTAATCAGTTCAAAAAAAACCTAATATATACAAAAGCTATATAACCATCAACATTTCACTGGCTGAAAATACTAGTTCATCTTATGGAATTAGTATAAAGCACAAATACAATACTGAGTTGCTTACAAATGTTAAATACAAACACATTTTTAAAAAATCAATAAATAAGTGCAATAAATTATGTCTTTAAAATAAATATTAAATGGAATAGTCTTATCAAAGCTGAATTGCACAATGAAGCAAAGAAAAAAAGGAAAGGTGCATCAATGCCTCTAAAGTATTTTGGTTGCGAGAGAGTGTTTTGTCATTCCTTTAGAATTTGTCAATGTGAGTGCTCTTGTACGACTTATCCTGAAGACCATTGAAGACCTCTTTTACACCATTCTGCCACTGTAGCACTAGTTCCATTGGAGTCTTTCCTGCCTGTTAAAAGTATTAAAACAGAAATTCTATTAATTTCAAACCATATTTTCTCAGCATTTTATGTTGACATATTTAAATTCATGTTCATTCCTAATTTGTGTAGTATTATCTTTTTAAAACAATGTCTATCCCGAACTATTGTAGTATTCTTTTATATTTTATGTTCAGAATAAAACACACAATGTATATAATAAGTATTGGTAAACTACCTTCCAATTTATAATCTTCGTTTCTACAAAATAAGTATTTATGAACTTGTCAGGAGATAACTAGGACAATTAAAATGTAAGTCTAAAAATAGATAAACTATAAAATAGCTGACTGATATTTTCCCCCAATTTGATCATTGTGGCATGAAAAAAAAAATCTAAAATTCCCTTAAGTCCCAACAATTCACTGTTCCAAACTACATATATCATTGATTGAAAACATGCCTACTTGGACATTTTTCTTCTCTCTCTCATTACTTGTTTTCAAAAACTTGCATCCACAAAAGACTGTTCCATTTTTATTTGTCATTATTTCCCACATTTGTGCCTTATTACACAAGCCTGACTCCCAAATTAATTGGTCCCCATTTGCCCCATGCAAGGGTGTTTGAAATACAAACTCCGCTATGATCCCTAATATGATCATACCGTTAACCCTCTGTACATTGCCGAGCATAGAAATAGTTTGTAGAAGTTAAACTGTCAGGATTACTGTTTGATCCAGCACGTAGAACTGTACAGCACGGATGACAATAAGTAACGTATTACCGGTCCTTAGAATGGCCAGATTTAACGTACAAAGAATAGTCAAAAATACTAGCCGAGGTCAGGGAACACAGAAAGGGACACAGCGATGAGGAAAGCCAGGAGTCAGGATACCAGAATATAGAGAAGTCAATAAACAAAGCCAAAGTCAAAAACCAGGTAGAAAACTATAAACAGGAACGCGCTCTCGGACAACCACAAGGGAAACCACGACAGGGCACTGAGCAGGCTGAGAACTGGGCCTAAATACCCCTCCTTTCTTTCTGATAGGCTGTAACCGGCCTTTGACCCCAAAGTCAGTTACCAGGTTTCATTTGCATAATTGCTGCTCAGCATTAACCCTTCTGTGGATTAGGTTGCTGCTCGACACAACTTTTCCTGTGTGGACAGTAAATGTCATTAACCACTTTTCTATAAGCGGATGAATACATGAGACCAGGTTTCCTTTGCACAATTACTGCTCAGCATTAAACCTTCTGTGGATTAGGTTGCTGCTCGGCACAACTTTTCTTGTGTGGACAGTAAATGTCATTAACCACATTTCTATAAGCGGATGAATACGTGACATTACCCCCCACCTGAAGAACGCCCACCGGGCGGACAGGACCAGGCTTGAGAGGAAATTTAGCGTGAAAAGCGCGGATCTTACGGCCCGCATGCAGGTCAGGAGCCGAAACCCAAGAACGATCAGCAGGACCGTAACCTTTCCAAACAACCAAGTACTGTAAAGTGCCCCGAGAAAACCTAGAATCCACGATAGAAGATACCTCATACTCTTCCTGACCACCCACCACCACCGGAGGGGGAGGAACACAAGGAACAGTATATCTATTGCAGATAAGAGGTTTGAGTAAGGACACATGAAAAGTGTTGGGAATCCCTAAAGATGCAGGAAGAGCCAGAGAGTAAGACACTGGATTGATCCTACGAAGCACTCTATAGGGACCAAGGAATCTGGGGGCAAACTTCATGCTAGGGACCTTAAGCTTGATGTTGCGAGATGACAACCAAACCCGGTCCCCCACTTGGTACACCGGGTTGGCACTCCTACGCTTATCAGCAAAATGTTTGAAGCGTTCAGCAGCAGCCCCTAGAGCAGTTTGAACCTTAACCCAGGTATCCCGAATGGAGGCCAGACGCTCATCCAGAGCAGGAATGGCAGTATCAGAAAATACCGCAGGGAGAACCGTAGGATGCCTACCATTATTGACAAAAAATGGACTGTGCCCAGAGGAGTCATGAACAGCATTGTTTCTAGCGAACTCGGCCCACGGGAGTAGTTCGGACCAATTGTCTTGTGTGCTATTAATAAAACAACGCAAATAAACTTCTAATGACTGGTTAGCCCTCTCAGCTGTACCATTGGTCTGAGGATAGTAGGAGGAGGAGAAGGAGAGATAAATCCCCAATTGTTTACTGAACGCCCTCCAGAACCTGGACACAAACTGAGAGCCCCTAACCGACCTTTGACCCCAAAGTCAGTTACCAGGTTTCATTTGCATAATTGCTGCTCAGCATTAACCCTTCTGTGGATTAGGTTGCTGTTCGGCACAACTTTTCCTGTGTGGACAGTAAATGTCATTAACCACATTTCTATAGGCGGATGAATACGTGACATAAACAAGCAAAGATGCCTACCACAACAGCATTCATTTGGCACAGTGGAGTCTTCTCTAGCACCACGTGCAAACTATTCTCCAATGGAGGATTTACTAAGAAATATTAAGTTCTCACAGGACCAACGTCGTGTTACTAAATTTGTCACAAATGAATGGTGAATGGGGACTCTGTCTCATACTTTGCCCTATGCTGCCATCCTGCTCTGAGGATGTATGTCTACATATGGTGTTTTGTGGGGTCAGGTTTATTTACTAAGGTGAGAATTATAAGTTAATTTTAAAAACTTGTGCAGGGGGGGGCATGGAGCTCCAAGTCAGCTATGCTTCTTGTGTGGCAACTTTGGCCTTAAAAGTTACATTCACTTTGAATTCCTAACAAATTCTCAGTTTATCGAATATCCCTTTTAGTTTCTAATATTGATGCGCATATGAAATAAAATTCTGCTATTACAATGTATTGATCAGGTTATTGATTATGGTATAAAGCACTTTCAAACAAAATGGTAATAAAAGTAGATTGCATGTTATTTTGAGTAACTTACACAATTTTTCATGGATAGGTTGGCTCCATACATGATCAAGAGTCTCATCATTTTGTAGCGATTTAGTCTAACCCCATCGTGCATTGGGGTATCTCCTTCCTGCCAAGAGAACACAATCCAACACGGTTTGATAATTAATACAAGGGTTATTAATTACTTATCTGACTTATTACTTGGTGCATTGATTTCATTGTGCTTAAAACACTAAACAATAGCAGATGTTTTATTATTATTATTATTATTGGCATTCGTATAGCACCAACATATTCTACAGTGCTATAGAATTTTAATATAGGGTATAACAGCAAAACTGAAACAAAATATTGAGATAAATAAAAGGACAAGATTAGCTCTTTTCATCTTACAGCCTCGTGTCATTTTCAGTCCTTTTCAGTGATCAATGGGTTACATTTTTACATAAGTATGACCCAGGACATACTTGAAAAGGAGAGAAATCTCAATGTATCCTTCCTGGTAAAATATTTTATAAATAAATAAATATGTGCAATATAATATAGTTTTATATGGATCAATTACTTTATTTCAGCAAAGCATAGTGACTATGGATTTAACGAGGGAGGATGTCAATGATGTCAAATAAAAAAAAAAAAAGATTGTTGTGGTGTTGCAATTCACCGTTGGCATCCTGTTAGATAATATAAAAAACAAAAATCCATTCACAATACTTACTCTGTCTTTGGCATTTAAGTCTGCCTCACAAGCAATGAGATGCTCTGCACAGTCATACTGTCCTGTTCTAACTGCAACATGGAGGGGCGTACTGAGCAACTAACAGGAGAAAAAAAATAAAACCAAATTAGTGACTAATGCACATTATACTATTTTTCATTTTTCTGTTCAATACAACAAAAAAATAAATCTTTTTTTTATTTAAATACCCGTTGCTTGACCCTTTCAGTGCCCGGACTAGAATTGCACTAACACTGTTAAATATCATGCAAAGCTTGCCATACTATGCCATTAATCTGCTGTGTCTGTTTCTGGCAATCCATCCCCAGCAACCATTATATTTATAATCTGAGATTTTGCTGATGAAGCCTTCTATTTAATTTAGATCTCTGAGTGACAGGAGGCTGAGTGGCACATTGCTCATCCCTTTAGCCATTGAGATTTCAGACTGTTACCTCTCTTGTATTGAAACTATGAGGATTTGGACATTATATATATTTATTTATTTATTTTTTGTTCATCCTGAGGAGAGCCCCGGACGTGGGCTGAAACGTCGATTTTAGGTTTTATGGAATAACTCCAAATAAAGATTTCTACTACTTTCTACAAGACCGTGAGTGCTAGCCCATTTTTTTATTTTACTTTGGTATATTCTTGCTTTGGCTGTTTCAGCACCTGGTATTAATACTTTATAGGATGAATCAGAGTGCAAGGACTAACCTGCCATATATATATATATAAAGGCCTCCAGCACTTTTCAAAACATAGAAACATAGTGGAAAAAATGACAGCACAGGACTTCCATTTTTGAAAATATTAAATTTTTCATGCCCTTCCAAAAAGTCAATGTTTGTACCCTATAAGGTCATAATCAACCCTATAGGGTTGACACAATTTCTCTGGGGCATGAATAACAAAACATTTTTCACATTTGGAAGTCCTGTGAGTGTTGCTATTCCGTCACTATGTATATATATAATTTTATTTTTTTTCTGTTAAAAGTACCTTGTCTCTGGCATTAATATTTGCTCCTTTGTTAAGCAGGAATTTTAGAGTTTCAACACTTCCTCCGCGGCAAGTCCAGTGGAGTGCTGTAGATTCAAGCTGTCAACAGAGGTCAAAGCAACAATAGTGTAAATAGCAAAAATACATACTGTTAAAAATATTGTCTTGTATTTCATCCTCCCTGCATTAAAATGCATCTTCATTTCAGAAGACTCAAATACTAAACCAGCAGTTTGTGCTTGCTATACATAGAAAACAAATTGGGATTGGTATAATGTGGACTGTTGAATTTGGTTAGCTTGGCAAATAGAACAGATTTGTTTACATGTCTAATCTGGGTTTCATAGTATAGACACTGAAATAAAAACTCAATAAGGAATTCACGTATACTGACATGGAGTGAATCCCGGTGCTCCAAAGTATCGTAATAGCATACCCTCGGTGACTGCCTGTGGTCTAAGTTATTCTGATTTCTCCAATTCGAAAAGAACTGGGCAACACTTAATCCCTTAACCATTGACCAAGAACAGAAGAGCATACTACTTGTTAACACACCTTCTATATCCACCAGTGGTCTAATAGGGTTATTCACTAAACTCCAAATGTTCACTAACTGTATTCAAATGGAAAAACCTAGCCAGGTTTGACCATGACTGAGTTGAAGAATTTTTTCAAAATAGCTATATTTGCCTTTTTATTGAATAAGCCTGTACTTTTTTCTTATCTCACCATGGGAGAAGAATTGAGAAAGGCTTAAAAACTGTATGATAACTAAGGGCTAGTTTCAAAGCAGTTGTTCCATGAGCACCTGACAGACACTGGGTAAGTTGTCAAACCATTGGTAGTTTGACTACTTACACGTAGGGGACTCCAGGACACTCCTGTCACCATAACCACTATAGCACAAGTGTTCCTTTGGCACAAATTAGATTTATCAACATACCAGAGGTGTGCATGGGGAAAAAAATGGTTTCATTTCAATTTTGTTAAATTGTTCCTCCGAAATGCAGAAAATATAGTTTTGGATGAACCAAATTTTATCTGGAAATTTCATTAATTTTCAAAATTTGGATGCCCATTATTCCCTACATGAAATTGATGACAGTGACAGTCCAAAAGTTACAGTACCAATTTAGGGATCTATCTGCTAAACAGCTGAAAGATCAACATTAAGAAAACTAATTTTTGTACTTTTGATCTTTCAGCTGTTTATTCGATAACTCTCTAATTTGCTATCCTTACTTTGGATTGTCATATTTATACCAAATTAAGGAGCTATCTTCTAAATAGCTGAAAGATCACAACTAAGTAAATCAATTTTCTTAATTTTTAATCATTAATTTGTTGGTTGATTACGTCTTAGTTTGCTACCCTTATCAAAACAAACGAATACAAAACTATTCGTTTCAATTCATTATGGATTATAGAACGCTTCCAATTGTGTCCGAAATTCAATTCGAAATGAAACGAATTGCACATATCTACAACATACCATGTCTTTAAACTCAATTTTTGCTCCAGCTTCAAGTAACTTCTCCACAATCGCCATGTGTCCTTCAGAGCAAGCTCTATGCAAAGCGGTGCGGTGATACTGTAAAAAAAAAAAAAACATTATATATATATATATATATATATATTTGTAATCATTTTATTTACATTTTGTTTCTTTTTAAAATGATGTGAATTTTATGACGACTTCCCAATATATCCCAAACTTTACAATTGGCTGGGTTACACACTAAAATGTATACTGAAAATATGCCCGACTTCGAGTATTTTTTCCAATATGGTTATTTTGACCTAAAAATTGAAATTCATTCTACATCCCCTTAGAATTACTGACAGTTTACACTTTAGTGAACAACCCTGTGAGTTTATTGAACAGCATGGGTAATAGGCGCCCACTGTAGCGTAATAAATGGATGTCTTCTGTAGGCTGCAGTACACAGTACAAGGATTCCCATACCTCGTGAGTGAAAAAAATAGCAAAAGAAAAATAGCGTATACCGCGCCCAGAATTAAATGTACAAGAAATATATGTACGTAAATCTTCAGATGGTATAATACTGTAGACCTCAGAACAAAAAGAAAGAATACAGTAATAGTGCAATACAGTATAATAAATATTAATCAAATAATGGCTCTGTGTATGATCCACAAGTTCTGCTCTGTGAAATGTAAGTACATTACCTTATTTTCTTTTTATTCACAAGTACTTACTTCACCATTGGATTTTTCTCCTTTGTGTATTTGGTTCCATATATACCTCGCACGCTGCATTGTATTTGGAGCACCTGTATTGCTAACATCACCACATATCTTTAGACAGGGATTATACCGTCCATGCGCAACACAGCAGAGCTCTAAGATAGCTCAAAAATGTGAGTGGATCCTACACAGAGCCATTATTTTGATTAATATTTATTATACTGTATTGCACTATTATTGTATTCGTTCTTGTTGTTCTGAGGTCTACAGTATTATTCCATCTGAAGATTTATGTACGTATATTTCTTGCACATCTAATTCTGGGCGTGGTATACACTATTTCCTGTGAGTTTATTCACTAAGCTGGAAATTATACGGATACGAATATTACACATTTTAGTTCAAAATCACCTAAATTTGTCAAATTGATTTAACTACAAATCAATATTTTTAATTTTGAACCCAGAAGACGCACCATATAGTGATGTATTTTAAGTCTGTATTTAGGGATGTTCAGCTTACCATTCCACATAGAAATACTACATAGAATTTTGGAAATGTTATATCATTACAACTTAGGCTATGGCTTGACTGTTACCGTAAATTCCAGGATATTATTTGAGCTAGTTGCTGGTGAATTGGAAATGTATTCATGAAAATGTAAACCAACAGAGAAAAACTGAAACACTTCTAAATATCAGCTATTTTTCTTTTTCTGTTGTCAGTTTATCACAATTAGATGTATAGTAGAGGAAGAGAGAAGCAGTCATACCTCATCACAAGTATTTGGATCCCCACCATCTGCCAAGTATTTTTCAATAATTGTCATCTTATTGTCCAGTGCTGCTTTGAAGAATGTTTCTTCGTCCACATGTTCAATCTAAGACAAGACATGACACCTTTAACAATACTGACTAGTACTCTCTAATTTGAGCAGGTAGTATGCCTTCTGAATTGAATAGACAGACTCAAAATTGAACACCAATGCACATCTCAGACAGGTCATCAAACTTTAGTTTTTTTTACTCAGATATCTGTACACAATAGAGATTCTACTGCTAGGGGTCCTGAGCTGGAGTCTTCAGCTAGATACAAAGATTGCTTTTGAAACACAGTTAAAATTAGAGGTACTGTCCCAAAATGCCAACTTAGAACATAGAGGAACACTGCAGAGTACCAAACATTGGCTTTGTTAAAGAAGGGGTGAAGGACTATTACAAGAAAAATAGAAAAGGTAAGTATCATTGCCCGACCCCAAAAAAAGAATACTAAAAAAATATAAACTAAATAAATATTTCCAGGTTTACATAGATGACTAATTGTTCTATATAATCTGCCAGTCAGCTAATGTTTACTTCACAAAGTTCCTTGTTAACTGTTTTAAGGATGGAATGCAACTGCATAGTTTAAAGGACCACTCTAGGCACCCAGACCACTTCAGCTTAATGAAGTGGTCTGGGTGCCAGGTCCAGCTAGGGTTAACCCACTTTTTTTAAACATAGCAGTTTCAGAGAAACTGCTATGTTTATAAATGGGTTAATCCAGCCTCTAAAGCCTCTAGTGGCTGTCTCATTGACAGTCGCTAGAGGCGCTTGCATGCTTCTCACTGTGAAAATCACAGTGAGAAGACACAAGCGTCCATAGGAGACTGCTTTCCTATGAGACTGGCTGAATGCACGCGCAGCTCCTGCCGCGCATGCGCATTCAGCGAAGAGGAGGAGAAGAGGCGGAGAGGAGGAGGAGAGCTCCCCGCCCGGCGCTGGAGAAAGGTAAGATTTTAACCCCTTCCTCTACCCAGAGCCCGGCGGGAGGGGGTCCCTGAGGGTGGGGGCACCCTCAGGGCACTATAGTGCCAGGAAAACAAGTATGTTTTCCTGGCACTATAGTGGTCCTTTAAGAACAACAAATGACATGAGGCTACTGTTGTGATATTCAGTATAAAACGTGGCTTATTCAATAATAGAGAAAATTTATGACAAACTTACCGTAAATTTATTTTCCTGGCTATTTCTCGTGGCAGCATAACATATGGGTAGCTCCTCCCTTAGCAGTCACAGGACAGGAATTAGATTAATTAATTTGACTGATAGGTATAAAGAGTCCCTCCTCCCCTTACAGTTGAAAAAACAAAAGAATGGGCTGGAACCCTGATGCTGCCATGAGACATAGCCAGGAAAAGAAAATTACGGTAAATTTGTCATAAATTTTCTCTATTCCTGGCTAATAATGGCAGCATCACATATGGGTAATACCCAAGCTTACAGAAATGAAGGGTGGGAATAAATAAACCGAAAAAAGACATTAAACAGACTCTCATGCTGCAAAGAAATGTAATATCAATGGGATAAAGAAACTGTAGACAGAGCACTCTTCCCCAAGGAGGTGGAAGGAGAGGCCACGTCCAGTTTGTAGTGTGTTATGAACGTCATCGTGGAAGACCAGGTGGCTGCCCTGCAAATATTATCGTATGGAACCTCTGCCCAATTAGCCCATGAAGTCGACAATGCTCTGGTAGACTGTGGTGTAAGGGGAGGAGGGACTCTTTATACCTATCAGTCTAATTAATTAATCTAAATCCTGTCCTGTGACTGCTAAGGGAGGAGCTACCCATATGTGATGCTGCCATGATTAGCCAGGAAAGTGAGTTGTGACAGGAAGACAATCAATCCATATAAACACAACAAAGTTGAGCTATTTCAGTCTAAAATGAGCAATATACTTGTGAGCTCAACACAACTCAATGTTTAACACATAAACTATTTTGTGGCTTTTCCTAATATTTGTTAAGCATTATGAATTACTTTTTTTCACACTTACAATTACTTCCGGTTCTGGTTCTTTAACCACAGGCGCCTTTACTTTCTTGCATCTTTTTCGTTTCTTAAGCTCGATAATATTTTGGAGGTCTTCCAAACTCTCGAGCTTTGGTCTTTGGTCTATTTTTTTCTTAACAAGCTAAACAAGTGGTAAAAATAAAAAATAATAATAATACATTGCCATTTTTGCACTTGTCACAGATGGGTACGTGAAAAACTTTATATGCAGTTTATTATTATTGTAGAATGGTAAATTCCAGAATAGAATTGTAAGATTAATGTTCAGCAAATGCAATTATCATTATGTCACTTTTAACACTGTGGGTGTTGAGTTGTTCAAAGACTGGGAAATAATTGTGTTCTAGAAAAATAGACACGATTATTTAATAATGTCAAAGTGACCAAGCTTTGCAAATTCTCTTGGTTGCTTATAGATACACTTGAATAAGTTGAGTACTGAGGATTCAAGTTAAATTGAAGATTTAAAAGGGAACTAACACTAACACAAACCTATATATTTCTCCCTGGGTTCACACAGCCTAGATATTCATATTTCTGAAAGAGACACATTTACACCGAAGACGCTAACAATATTTATTTCATTAGCATTGCTGTAATTAAACTATTTTACTGCCTCTAGTTTGGTGCGGATTATCGTTTTTTTCTTTCTTTGGTCTATTTGTTACAAATGGTTTGATTTATTGTTGCCTGTACACTTATCACTTATAGCAAGCGCCTAGACATTTTTCTTGTTTCTATCCCCAAATGAATCTTATGGTTTAAATATTATGAGGGGTTCTAAAGGAGAGTCACCTCAGCCTTAAGACGTTTTTCATTAGCTTGTTTCTCCTCTTCCTGGTTAATCAGATATTTTGACGTTGTCCGTAGATCATCTTGTTTTTCTAATGTTTTGGCTGTTTCATATACGCCATTTTTAAATTCGTCTGTCAGATTTACAGATTCATTGTTATCATTTTTCTTTCCGGTCACCTGTGAATACAGCAAACATCATTGTTATTTCAAATTCAATATGCAGTCAAATATAATGCATTGATTTAGAAAAAAGAAATAGTCAAAGAATGCAGAAAAAAATATGATTCTACAATATATACAAACTTAATTTATGAAAATCCTGTTCAGTACTTCATACCAACTGACTATACTAAAAGGGGGCAAAATGTATATCCCCAGCTGCCGTAGAACTGCATTTCCCATGATGCTCTGCTAACCTTTTGGCCACCCCTGGACAATACTGTACATTTGGTGAGTTTATAAACACAATTTGTAACAGTTATCATATCAGATTTCATGGCAGCTGGTCACAGACCGTTTGGCACTCCTTGTGTGTTATACCAGCTGTAAAGCTATCAATTTATCATCCCATGTATTAGACATCATAACCAAGGATTGCAGTAGAAAATGGAATAATGAACAGGTAAAAATAAATTTAGATAATTTTTTTTGGCTTCATTGATGACCAAGTAATATCATCAATGAACTCGTCAATTTAAAATATCGGTAAACATAGCCATCATATGCTGCAAGGCACATTCAACTTTACTAGGTATTAAAATTATCCAATTGTCATACATTTATTTTGTAACAAATATATATTTTTTTTAAATCAACCATTCACAAATCTGTGTTGATGGTTATGATCCAAAAGAAAGCAAAAAAACAAACACATTTTGAAGTAATTTCCATTTGTGCCCAAAAAAAGGAAATAAGGTAATGTTTTCCTGTATTGAGCAGTACATAAATATATATTTTAGTAATCTAGTAAAGAGCCGGGAAGATCCTTAAAAGAAGAACCAATGAACCACAAAAATTCAGTCAGCCAAAAATAAAGAGGTATACGAACAATTTTACACCTCAAAGTTGGAGCATACCTGAGTCTTGGCTAAAAGCACCTTGAATATAATTTTTATCATATGTTCCTATCAGTTATATATTAGAAGAAAACAAATCTGCTCTAATTATATTTTAAATATATCATTGATATATAAAATTAGCAAGATTAGTATGAATTTACAGGCTAGAATACATTGATCAAGCAATTATTTCACAAAATTCTCACAATGATGATATCTCAATAGAGATTATTTATCACACAGGTATTAGTATTGTAATATCATATGAAAGTTCCAAAAACATGTAATTAAATTAGAAAACAATAAAAATAATATCACATAAATTAATAAATCTGGTTAAAAATATAAAAAAAATAATACAATGCCACAAGGTTTCTATAAAGGAAATTTTTTTTTTTTTACCAATTCTTCCACGTTCAGAATCATTTTTGCCAATTGTGTCTTGTAGTATCCTTCCTGATGTTAACCTTATCTGGACAATTTACTTCTAGCTGAAGAACTTCAGCCTACCAAGGCTTTTATACTGTATCCTGGGAAGGTTGAATGAGGTAATGTTCCAACCTGGGACTGCAACAGTTATGGACCTAACTCAGACACAAGGATAGGTGCTCTGTCATTCCAGACATGTTAACTAGCCAGATCTTGTGTCATGCGAGAAACTGGGTGGGGAGGGCAGCATGGGCCTTTCGATAAAAAAAAAAAATGCATTCCATATCCCAATTGGAATGTAATGTGAGAATGCTTCTCCACTGAGAATGACTGAAAGGCTCAGCAATGCTAGTCATTCTAGCTGAACTGGTATGACAGCTGCCTGTAGATCTTACGCCAAATTTGTTCGCAGACTTTTAAATGACTAAAAGATGCTGGAATAGAGATGCAATGATGATGGTCACCTATGATGAGTAAATTCACACTCATTCAGCCTGAGAAGGGGATCTGTCTCATTTCTTTATCATGGTCCTACCAGTAACAGAAATGGTTTTGTCACAATGTTGATGGTAATCAGCTATATTTATTGACGCGGATTATCTAGAGGATTACGTAGTTGGAAGGTTGTCTCCAAAACTAAAAATGACAATGATTTAATTGAAAACAAACTCTGTGACAAGTAAGACAACAGGTCAGCTATTATTACAAACTGATTTAACAAACTGAAAAAAAAAGAGTCAATACACTCAACATGGTCATCAAATGATATCATGGGTGTCCACTGTCCAACATTTTATTCATTTCATAGTTTATATAACTAAATAACCATAAACATGGAAGTGATGCAGGAGAGCAATGTACGTTAATCCTGGCCAACTCCTGTTTCTGTATACTGAAATTGTTTTGTCACTATAATTTGTATTCTTTGCTTGCATATTGAACATCAATGTAGAATATGTTGGCTCTGTATATAACTATTAATTACAGAAGATGCAAATGGGCCATAGATCTGCAGAACGATTGCCATATTTGGCCTTGGCCTGACTGCATCTATCTTACATCTGCAGATATATGACTTTATGTCCGTATGATATGTAATTGCTCTCATGCCAATGAATATTAACATTACATAGCCTGTATGCGTGTGGAATATACTATATACCTATGGGTGCAGCAGCTGCTGAGGTTGGAACTTTGCCACTGTATGAAGCAGCAAGGTCAGACACAGAGTATCTGAAAGAAATATCTGCTATCTTATCACATGCTACCTCTACAGTGTCCAGTAGCTGACAGATACTGGTAATGGCTTCTGATGTCTGACATCACCTTGGTGTGGGGTGGGGAGACTGAGTGTGTTCGTATAGAGTGTCACTAACATTCCATGTAAGAACACTAGAACATACATAGTGTTATGGGAATTAGGGTCATGTGTTTCATTGCAAGCTAACAGGTTAAAAAGCATTAATCATAAAAAATGTTAATAGTTTTTTTTTCCAGGAAATGTCTGGTAACTGAGGACATCAGCCAAAGAGGGTAATTTCACCCAGAAGTAATAACTTGTAAGTAATACAAAATCTTAATGTTCAGTAATGTGTTAAATATTATTGGCAAATGTACCCATTACACATTAAAAAAGATAATTATTGTGAGTCTCTAATTGCTAGTTTAGTTTAAAATAATTAAATGTATTGTTAACATAATGTTTTCTCATGTGAGATTAAATAAAAGTATTATATCTTTGCATCTTTAAAGTCGTATTTATTAAGCATCTCTATAAACCAGAGATCATGAACACATGAGCATTGTTTGCTGTCTAATCATAATATTAATAGACAAATTGAATCTCCGGGGAGAGATGTACTAAGATAAGACGGAACATTTTCACTCATTTAAACGTTTCATGACATTCATGGAGTTAATTTAACGAATTCTGTATTAAATTACTTTGGTTCAGTGGTTTTTAACTCCTGGGTTGGAACTTGAAAATGGGTTCACATGTAATTGTGTTTATTCATTAGTTTGAACAGAAATATAATAATCATAAGACTTCTGCATGACATGATTGTTTGGGTCTTCTGAAATTATTTAACAAATTTAACATTTTGTTGAGAACATTGGATGCTTGGCAATGTGCTGGATAACGTCGGCAAAATATATGATCATGAAAACCAGTTGGTGGAACCAAACCTTTGATCACGGCATGGGTTAATCATGAGTGAGGGGAAAAAATGAGTGAGGGAAAAAAGTATTTGATCCTCTGCTGATTTTGAACATTTGTCCACTGACAAAGAAATGATCAGTCTATAATTTTAATGGTATGTGTATTTTAACAGTAAGAGACAGAATAACAAAACAAAAAAATCCAGAAAAATCCATTTTAAAAAGGTTTTAGGCTCATGACGGCCGCTCTATAATATGTGGTGAGGTGTGGCAGGCCCATGCCCCCCAATTTGTATGGTAGGTACATAATGTTTGCTGCTGTCCTTGGCTTTTTGGGTGCCCAAATAAATGTGTTAATCACTTTCTGAGCTATCTTGAGGAATGTTTGGGGTAGTTTAATTTGTAATGTGTGGAATAAGTATTGCAGTTTTGGCAATATTAAAATTTTTACTGCAGCAATTTTTCCCATCCATGAGACAAATTTCCCTTTCCATCCCATCATCTGTTGTTTTATAGAGTTTAAAGTTTTGATGTAGTTGTCTCTGAGCAGGCGGTGTTCTTGTTTTGTGAAATTGATCCCCAGGAATGTAAGGCTGTCCTTCCATTCATATTTGTGTGTCTGTTTCAGAATTGCTGTTGTGTGTGGTGGTGTGTGTAGGCACATGGCCTGCATTTTTGTGATGTTCAATTTATAATACGAGCAATCACTATATTGCTTCAGAGTGGTATGGAGAGCTGAGATAGAAACTATCGGGTCAGTAAACGAGAGCATGACATCATCAGCAAACATGGTAATTTTGTATTCTTTGTCTGCTATATGTACCCCTTTAGTCATTACGTTATCCCTAATGGATTGTGCTAGTGCTTCAAGGGCGAGGTTATAGAGTATTGGGGATAGTGGGCATCCTTGATGGGTGCCTTTTGTGATTTCAAAGGGTTGGGACACAAAGCCTCCATTCATTATTTGGGCGGCAGGTGTAGAGTAAAGTGCCAAGATTAGGCCTTGAAATGCGGGTGGGAAATTTTTGCAGGACTGCTCGGAGGAAATTCCAGTGCAACCTGTCAAAAGCCTTTTCGGTATCTAATGACATAAACACTCTGGGTTGTTCGTGGGCCTTTTTACCATAAAGCAGGCTGTGAAGTTTTCTTGTGCCCTCTGCCCCCTGTCTCCCCTTCACAAATCCCACTTGGTCTGGGTGTATCAGGGAAGGTATGATGGTCGTTACTCTAGTAGCATATATTTTTGCGAGGATTTTTGTGTCGGTATTTAGTAGGGAGATGGGGCGTAGATTTTTTGGCTGATCCGGAGTCTTCCCCGGTTTTGGTAATGTGCGCGAGTAACATCTCTGGTGGCATGTTTCCCGATTGTACTGTTATTTAGTGCGGTGACTAGGTGTGGGGCTAGAGTGTTGTGCAATGTTTTATAATATTCGTTGGTGAAAGCATCTGGGCCCGGTGAGTTCCCTGATGGTAGTGAGCGTATTGTCTGCATCAGTTCTTGTAGTGTGATTGTTTTTTGTAGACTTTCTTTATGCTATGAGAGTAGGTAGTCTTATGTTGGCGAGGAAGTTTTGTATTTCAGTGTTATTGGGTTGGTGTATCTGTGTATCGTCCCGCAGGTTATAAAGACTTTTGTAGTAGTTAGCAATCATTGTGTTAATTTCTCGGGGGTCGTATATTTTCCCTCCTGCTTTATAGAGTATGTATGGGATTTTTTATTTTGCTTGTTTCTGCCTCAGCATTGACGCTAGCGCTTTGCTAGCTCTGTTACCCTGTGTGTAATGCCGTAATTTGAGTTTGTGGAGGTTCTGGAGCAGCAGGTCATTGATTTGTTTAGTGGGATGTGCTATTTCTATTAGTCTTTCGTCTTTGGGTTTTATTAATTGATCGTTATTGAGATCTCGAAGCTCTGTCAATAATTGTGGATGTAGGCGCTGTCATGTCCATACGTGGGTGTAGTACATGATTGAGGTCTCCACATATTATTAAAGAAGTCGTGTTATGGTGGGGAATTTTGTTCAGTACCTTGTGTAGAAAGTTGCGTTGGTTGATGTTTGGACTGTATATCCCCACTAAGGTATATAATGCGTTGTTGATATTGCAGTGCAGTATGAGGTAGCGTCCTGGGCGTCTTTTTTCATCTGTAAAAGTTCAAAGGTTAGTGATTTATGAAACAGGAAAGAGACACCTCTTGTTTTAGAGGAGTAAGTGGCATGATATTGGGTTGTATATTCCTGTTTCCCAAACTCTTGGACCCTGGAGTGTGCAAAGTGTGTTTCTTGGAGACAAAGAATGTCTACGCTGTCCTGTTTAGCACCTGCTAGTAGAATCCTGCGTTTGTGAGGGGTATTTAATCCCCTAATGTTATGTGATTGTATTTTCATATGTTGTTAGTTTTGGGGGAGCATCAGTTGTGGTTACATCTGTGTATTCGTTTCGTAGTTTATGGTGCCTTTTTTCGAGGTGTGGAGTAGGTTGGTTTGATTGGGTGACCTTGTCATTGTTTCTCTCGCCTTGAGTTGTGCAGTGAACCTGGGTCGGGTCGGTGACACTTTGGTGGGGCTTTCTGTGAAGGGGAGAGGGAAAATGAAACTGGAGGTAAACATGAACTAGATATTTACATAACCTCTGGTCGTGAGGCATGGTACTCCTATGGGTACCGTGGTGTGGAAACTTCTGTGTTTCCGTAGGGTGGCTTTGGGTCTAAATGATACTCTATATAATAGATGTTTCATCCTGAGTCAGGGCTGTGGGTTGAACATACATTAAGTACATATCATAGGTGTTGCAGATGTTCTCTAACTTGAAATATTATACATTACATTTTTGTAACTCGTATATCTCAGATATAGAAGACATTTTTTACCATATCGCATCCTACATTACCTATGTATAACTTGTGGTATAAAAAAGAAAAATCTTAAGTCTAAAACTTATTATACCTTATGTATTTATACCTTATATATCATAGGTGTTGAAGACAATCTGTAACATAGCATATTATAC